TCTCTGCTACACGCTATTTGACTGCAAACGGCAGGGGATGTGACATTTCTAGACAATCTTCGAAGTTCCATCTTCGCGGGCCAATAACTGGTGATTGGTTAAGATCAAAATGAATGGATTTGGATCGGACCGGGTGAGTCAATTAGTGCGCATCGATTGATGCAAATGGCGGAAGAAGAAATCTACGTGCACGTGTGATTCCCAGAACTGACACAGAGCTGGATTTCACAAATATATCTGTAGCTCGGTTCCAAATGGAAGTAGAAAGATGATCGAGGACTAGCTGAATGGAATGCAATATTTTCTTCACGATTGTATCGCAATATGCTTATCATAAAAAAAGCAAACACTTATAGTTGTATAGGTATTACGAATAAACTCCTCGAAACAGAGAATACCGCTGTACTAATCGGAATGGCATAACGGGAACTCGGATTCGGACTGAAAATACCGTGAATAGCACAAAGTCACATGGAACCAAGATGAGCTGCGGAAACAGTTATATTTATTCAGAAAGGCAATTAAATAAACATTGCAATTGTCAATCATACATGGGTTCATGTTTCGGTGTCCAACCGACATTGATATACTCAGTTTGTTAGCTCTCCAGTATTCAGTCAGTCTGAATGCCCATGATTGGACCGCCAGAATTGATCGGAATCTCTGTGTCCTGATTGACCGCTTTGAAGCTGTGCCAAGGTGCGTGCGTACTGTTTGATTACCAAATGAAAGCACTTCCGGACAAGCATATAAAGTGAGCAGTTGTCCACTCAGGGAAGAGAGCCGGCCAGAGAATTGTAGGCTGCCCGATCGGGGCAAAAATAACTTCAAGAAAACATGAATCTACACCACTGAGGAATAGTCTGCGGCCTTCAGGTGACCGAAAATTAACAAATTTTGTTCTTTTCCCAGCTTCGCAGAGGTTCAATAGATTTGAAGATAAATACTTGTTAGCAAGAAGAAAAAAATGATTAATTAGATTCCACTAGGTACAGCCGGAACCAAATAGTAGAAAAATTGTACTCCTAATGTGCGCGGATAGAAACGGTTCATTTCCGTTTGCCGAAAAGACCACTTTCAGCTGGGGCTTCAGTCTTTTCACTGTTAGTTTCCGCTACCACAGAACTGGAACACAGGGACATATGCTGTTACTCGCGTTAGATACCGGAGATAGACAAAATAGTTTTGACATGCTAGCCGATTCGATCACTAAAGGCTCATTGTAACTCCTTCGCTTGGCATAGTTCATTTGTGAGCAGGCGTTTCGTATTATCTCTTACCTATTATAAATGCCAACTTACTGACGGGCGCTTTCCAAGCCCAGTTGCGGGGCCTCAGCATTTGGCGAAGTTCATGGTCAAACCAAGGGGGTGGGACATAATGTGTGACCTGTCGTTAGGGAGGTGCAAAAGCCACTGTTAATTCCAGTATGCCTTCTTGGATTGCAGTCCAAGTGAGTCCATTTTATCGTGAGCACTGAGTTACCCAAGGGAAAGAATCTACCGCATTTCTCATTCCCTTGAAGTCTGTGTGATGATCCAGACATACGTGATCGCATTCCAAGTACGACCAGGTACAGCTTCATGTCATCCAATCACAGTTCAGGAAGCTCGACCTATGGTACACCGGACGAACGTGACATCAGAGTTAGTACATGTGATGCGTCTGCGCAAGCGGTTACGTAATTGGACGACGTTTCCTCATCCAATGATATGGCCTATTATTTTCTATAAAACATGCTCTAATTCTAATAATAAACATAAGCACTTGATGCTACAAATTCCTGATTTATTTCATTGGTGTCCGCAGTTTGGGTTGAAGCCAATCCAATTCTGAGCATTGCAGTACGGGTTCTCGTATTCCGATATTCAGTGCGATTCTGATTACCACAGTCTGCTTTGCGGACACTGGATCCGGAGTGTTGTCGAGGGTGGTAAGGGGCTCCGACCACCCAATGCACCAGGAGTACCAAGTGATCACTTGGGCCGAGTGGTGGAAGGTTGTCAATGATATCGATATCTAATGATCTTGCAGATAAAACCAGATCAAGAATTGACACATTAGAAGTGGTGATCCTCATTGGTTCTGCAGAATACCGGTGAAAAGCATTGAGTAGCTCTCTGGAGTATCGGTTCGCTCCCGCAAGCAACGATTTTCAGCCCAGTTCATGTGTGGCAAACTGAAGTCATCCGAAATCAACCGGTGACCACTGCATGTCCAAAGATGAGGGTGGTCTATAGCAGACACCAATATTCCAATCGATATTGCAGCAGAGTTCCGTCTTGCACCACCATGTTTCGCCCTTTCCGCCACCATCCGTATGGCCATGAAGATGCGGGACCGACAAGCTGTTGTGAACAGACAACAGAACGTCACTAGCTTGTGGTTATTCTAGCCTACGGGATAACGCCAGCCACGGAGCAACGCGTTGCAGCTTCTGTACAAGTGTGGTGAGCCAATCCTCTCAGTGGATACCGGTCAAGCGCGTAAACGTCAGAGCTTCTGGACAACAAACAACAGGCTAATCGTGCCAACCAATCAGAAGTACTGCGGTCCAGACAGAAGCTGTATGACATCAAGAATACAAGCACGCGATTGTTGGATACCTGGATAACCAGTAAACTTCCCTTGTACATCTTATTTAATCCCCTTGATTTATTCCAATAAACGAACTGCTACTTCTGTGGTCTTTTTCCTGCTTCTCGTTTATGGGAGATACCAGCATGCGAGTGCTAATGCAATTTAGCTTTCCAGTTGCGCCCGTGATTTGTGATTCGTGATCTACGATTCCCTCAAATGCTACACACCTATTGATTGAAAGGATTNCAGAAGCTGTATGAAATCAGGAATACAAGCACGCGATTGTTGGATACCTGGATAACCAGTAAACTTCCCTTGTACATCTTATTTAATCCCCTTGATTTATTCCAATAAACGAACTGCTACTTCTGTGGCCTTCTTCTTGCATCTCGGTGATGGTTGATGCCAGCGTGCAAGTACCAGTGCGATTCATCGTTTCAGTTGCGTCTATGATTCGTAATCTGTGCCTACTTCAACTATTACTTAAACTTTCTGATATGAAGCGTGCATTTTAATACACTCCGTCCCGATGATCTTTAACCCATTCGAACTTCACCGTACTTTTGGTTACGCCCGGTATAGGTGGATCGATAATCACAGGCGTAATCGAAGTCGCACTGGTAATAGGACAGAATACCATAGAAATGGCAGTCAGTTTAGTCAGAGAAATCAAGGCGATTTAATACTGTGTATTATACAACATCATTGGCTGGAGCATTGGGTACCAATCACAGTACACGTTCTTATGGACACATGATTCCTGTTTGAACCAAGTGGATTGCGATTGCTCCAGAACACTGGCTTCTCATTGGTCATTCTGGAGTTGTATCGCATGGCACACTGGTTGTCTTATCCCGAACCACAGGACTAAGTGGTGGTTTAACGCTTCTGCTGTTCATCGCACAATGGTGTATAACAAATAAGTTATTCCCCAAGGGTCACA